ACACTACCACAAACATTTATTTAAATAACTTGTTTTATCTACTTACATATTCTTAATACAGGTATTAGAGAAATTACAGGCTGAAAGGCAACTGTCAGAAAAATCAATGGTTTCAAAAAAAAAAAAAAAGGATGAAGTCATTAGGTTAAGGAAGGTAATTATTCAGAAATCCTGATATTTTTGTCAAAGATGATCAATATTACTTTACTGTTTAAAGTCAGAAAAGAGGGACACCTGGCTGGCTCAGTTGGAAGAATGTATGACTCTTGATCTCAGGTTGAGTTTGAGCCCCACACTGGGTGTAGAGATTAAACTTTTTAAAAAAAATTTTTTTAATGTTTATTCATTTTTGAGAGATGGAGACAGAGCATGAGTGGAGGAGGGGCAGAGAGAGAGAGGGAGACACAGAATCTGAAGCAGGTTCCAGGCTCTAAGCTGTCAGCACAGAACCCGATGCGGGGCTCGAACTCACAGACCACAAGATCATGACCTGAGTGAGCTGCAGTTGGACATTTAACCAACTGAGCCACCCAGGCGCCCCTAAACATTTTTTAATTTCTTTTTCTTTCTTTCTTTTTTTATTTTTACTGTTATTCATTATTGAGAGACAGAGAAAGAGCACAAGTTGGGGAGGGGCAGAGAGAGAAGGAGACACAGAATCTAAAACAGGCTCCAGGATCTGAGCTGTCAGCGCAGAGCACAACGCAGGGCTCGAACCCACAAACCGTGAGATCATGACCTGAGCCAACTGAGCCACCCAGGCGCCCCTAAACGTTTTTTATGTCTATTTATTTAGTTTTGAGTGAGAGAAAAAGAGGGAGATAGAGCGTGGGACAAGTTGGGGAGGGGCAGAGAGAGAGAGAGGGAGACACAGGATCTGAAGCAAGCTCCAGGCTCCAGCTGTCAGCACAGAGCCCAACACAGGACTCGAACCCATGAACTGCGAGATCATGACCTGAGCCAAAGTCAGAAGCTTAACTGACTGAGCCACCCAGACGCCCCTTAAACTTTTAAAACATAAAGTCAGAATGGACTCCGATCTTAGTGAGGGATTCTAGTTATTTAATATCAAATCATATCATTCCCCTGCTAAAAAACATCTAATGATTTCTCATCTCAGGACAAACCCAAAGAACTTCCTATATCCTAAAAGCCTCAACATGATCTGGTCTCTGGTCACCTCTCTTTCATTTTACCTTCTTCTTCTCCCTTTACACCACTCCAAACATTTCAGTTGCTTATGTTCTTCTTTCTACCTTCACTTGAATAGTAAGATACTATTATAAACATGCCTAATTAAACGTATTTACTTTATCCACCCCCTTCACAAAAAAAAAAAAAAAAAATCAAGCTCAGTTTGAGACAAACTGCAAACTGGCTAAGATGTAACAGTGTATCTCCTATTCTGACCATTGTTAACTATAAAATGTTATTCAGAATCATCTGGAAGAACCACCAATAAATTCAGACCAACACCCAGAATGAGCAGCTTCAATGCCTACCTGATTTTTAGTCACATGACTACCATAATTATGAGTATACAAGGTCTTCACTTAATACTGCAGTACCACAGACTATAAATGAGTCATTTGAAATAGAAACACTTGAAATAGGAATTTTACATTAATTACGAACTTTAAACTATCTTGGAAATTTTAATTTAGTAATCTCACAAGTACTTAACAGTGAGCATATACCCAAAGATCAAGAGTGTAGTTAAGACACATTAACACAATTTTACAATTTAGTTACGTTAATGTGTAGGTGCAGGCAAACTAAGTTCCACTGGCCAGGGGCATAAAGGGATAAAGTGGTACAGGAAGGTTAAGTAACTTTTAGTTACCTTTTACTACTATAAACATATGTGATTAAAATCCAGTGAGTATGTACCATTTAGCTTTATCACTAGTAGCCATAATGCAATAAAACCCAAAGCCCTGTCTATAGAAGCTCAGCATGCCCAGATTAGTTCTCTTAGAAGTTGAAATATCAGTCTTCCTTCTGAGTTAACATAAATCTCAGCTCTAGGACAACTAAGAAAACCCTAAGTAGCAACTTCTCTGGTCACTGCTTCAACTCCACTAACTCCTTGAGGAAACACCTCAAGATCTACCTGTTTTCACTCTAATATGAATGAAGACTATGAGAATACTCCAGCAAAACCACTACCACACACATAATACACAGGGAACTATTTACTTGATATGTGCAGTTTCTCTCCATCCCACCTCAAATCAATAGTCAAAACAGCCCTCAGTCACATGACAACATCTTAGCCTGACCTAATTATGTGGGATTTGGAACAGAGGAGTCTGGGCCTCCCTGTGGAAGAAGCTTGTCCCTAAGAAGACCCAAACACCGAAAGCCAAAACTAGGCCAAGCAGGGACCCTGTATATTCATTTATCTATTTCAATCAACGGCTGCAGGACCACCCAGTTGCAGGGAGGAGAGTGTTGTTTAAGGCTAAATAACTGAAATTTGTTTAGAAAATGAATTTTTCGGGGTGCCAGGGTGGCTAAGTCGGTTGGGCGTCCAACTTCAGCTCAGGTAATGATCTGGCAGTTTGTGAGTTCGAGCCCCGCATCAGGCTCTGTGCTAACAGCTCAGAGCCTGTAGCCTGCTTCTTGTTCAGTGTCTCCCTCTCTCTGCCCCTCCCCCTCTCAGGCTGTGTCTCTCCTCTCTCTCTCTCTCTCAAAAATAAACATTAAAAAAAATTTTTTTAATGAATTTTTCAGATTCTCACAACATATCAGTAATACATAAATGGAGAAAGCACTGGAAACAAGTTGTTAAATCCTGAATTTTTACTTAACTCTAAGCAAGCTGTTTAGGAGTACAAGGAAAATACCACACAGACAAAATAGTTTTGGCCTGTACGTGACTAGACATATAACGTTGGTATATTTACAAAAGTCTCTGGAATTCAGTTTCCTCATCTGCAAATGGGGATGGACTATAGAAGTCCTGAAGATTCCTTTCGGGTCTAAAATTCTGGATCTATGAAAAAGTCAGTGGGTCCCTATTTTCTTCTCTCTAGTACAGACTTTTATGAGAACAGAGGTGATAACTCTAGGACTAGACTGACTTAAAGCAAGTTGTCTTCTATTTTGTCACGTCCCCATGGGCCACCAGTGCTCTACAAAAGTAGATGGTACTATTCTTAAAAAAATTTTTTTTTTCAACGTTTATTTATTTTTGGGACAGAGAGAGACAGAGCATGAACGGGGGAGGGGCAGAGAGAGAGGGAGACACAGAATCGGAAACAGGCTCCAGGCTCTGAGCCATCAGCCCAGAGCCTGACGCGGGGCTCGAACTCACGGACCGCGAGATCGTGACCTGGCTGAAGTCGGACGCTTAACCGACTGCGCCACCCAGGCGCCCCTAGATGGTACTATTCTTAAGATAATTTATCAAAAGAGATCCTTTAGTAAGTTATCCTTCACAATTAGGAATTAGTCTTGTACCTTCAGTCCAAACAATGTCACTCGTGCCCAAAGCTCAAACCGGTATGTTCAAAACGACAATCATGCAATAGTACACACACCTTACACATTTGGGTGTTTGACACTGAATGGTTGAAAAATTCTCACCACATATAACATTTTTAAGACATTTTTTAAAGTATTTTTCCCCTTCAGATCTGGCAGGGAGGACTATAATGTGATTATACACCTGCAAGAAACATTTACTTCAAAAGACAATCTTAAACACAAAAAGAACCAAACAAGTCACTAACGCTGGTAAAAATTTTAAATCAGGACCATTAAAAAACACAAGTGGAACCAATTCTGAGGCAAAAAGGATGCCAGTTTTCCACCGCAGACTACTAAACATGCTTTTGACCAAATCGATTTAACTGCCAACAGTGCTATTTAATAATGATGCCTCGTAACTGAGTCAATCGGTAACTAAGGATATGTTTAGGTGATTCCTAATCAAGGTAGTAACTGAGACTAAGCAAAATTGCAAATCAATACTTTATTTCGATACAACATAGTTTAAGTCATGAAAAAAATGTCTAACAGGAAAACGTCCTTTCAATACCCAAGAATCCTAACCCATAAGATTTCAACACTACCTTTTTACTTACACAATCTCCGAGAGTACTACATTTAAAAAGAAAATGTACCCAAAACATAACTGGGCTTCACCCAGTATAAAACGGTGATTCATGTTTCATATTCAATGTAAAGCCAAAATGGAGTTGTAAAGAGTTTCTTTCCCATTTCAACTCCGACAGCCACGCGCACTTCGCAGGGGCCGGCTGCACCGCGCGGTTGCCGGGCCCGGCTCGAAGCCCCCGCCCTGCCCGGCGCAGCCGTGAGAGAGAGGAAGCGCCGGGGACCGCGGGCGGGCGGCTGGGGCTCCACCAGGCCTGGCCGGGCGGGGGAAGGGGCGCGGGAGGCCGCGGGGCGCGCTTCCGGGGACTGCGCGGGCGGGGCCGCTTCTTTGGGGAGCGGGGCCCCGGCCGGGAGGCAGGGGCCGGGACCCAGGGGCAGCCAGCCGAGAGCAGCAGGTGGGGCGCGGCCGCGGAGGGGCGGCGGGCGGGCTGGCGGCCGGAAGAGTGCCGGGCGGGCGGGCCCCGGGCGCCGCGGCGCCAGGAGGGTACCCTCTCGCTCACCTCAGGCGACGACTCGCAATCCGACCTCTCCACGCCAAGGACGCCTGTCCGCGAGTAGCAAGCTCGGAGACTAGGGCGGGTGGCTGAGGAAACGGAGGCAGACTAACGAGAGAACCGACGGAGGACGGCGGGCGGCGGGCGGGGAGCTCGAGCGAGCGAGGGCGGTCGGCGGCGGGAGGGCGGGGAGCAACGTGCGCGCTCCCGTGTGCCAGCGGGCTCGAGCCAGCCCCAGTCTCGGCCCCGCGCACGCGCGCGCACTCACAGCTCAGCTACGATTGCTCAGGAGCGCGTCCACGCCCTAAAGGCAAGGCGCTTAACCAATCACTGCAGCCGCGTGGGGCATCACGGGAACTCCAGGGCTATAAAAGACCTGGTTGCTATTTTATGCTTCACGACTCACTCATCCTTTAAGTAAGCAGGGTGGGGCAGGGTGCGCGTGCGCGGTTTTAATACTCCTCCCTAAACTGCCAACTCTTCGCGCAAGCGAAGTAGCCTAGCCTTGCCTAGTTTTACGCGTGCGCACTAACGGCCCTGGCCCCGGAAGACCAGACGCCTGCGCAGTCGGAACTACGGTGACAGTCCCCCGGGTGGGGTATGGGCCAGTCATGGCGGAGCCTTGGTCTGGGCAGTCCTTGCAGGCTCTTCCGACCACGGTGTTGGGCGCGCTGGGCACCCTGGGCAGCGAGTTCCTGCGGGAGTGGGAGGCGCAGGACATGCGCGTGACCCTCTTCAAGCTGCTGCTACTCTGGTTGGTGTTAAGTCTCCTGGGCATCCAGCTGGCGTGGGGGTTCTACGGGAGCACGGTGACAGGGCTGTATCACCGCCCAGGTGAGGCTCCCCACCCCCCACTGGACTCCATCATTGGGCTCCCCAGAACCCCCTAGACTACCACTGATCCCCTAAGGACCACATCACAGCTTAACTCTGCACCCTAATCCATGCCAACATACCATTTCATGCCAGAAACCCCGGTCCACCCATCACATTTTAACTTCCTTTGAACCTCAATCAGACAATACCGCTAGTCCCTTTAGGGCCCCCACGAGACTCTTCACCAAACACCGCCACTGGCCTCAAACCTGACCTGGGCTGATACCTGCTCAGATCCCCACCCCCAGCCTGCTGCAGCTCTGGATGTGTTCCTGCCCCCAGGTCTGGGCGGCCAGAACGGATCCACACCTGATGGCTCCACGCATTTCACTTCGTGGTGAGTAAATCTGTGCCCATCACAACCCCATGCTTGGCAGGCAGAGGATAGGCCTGTGCTGATAACAGGGATGGGGGCGAGAAGTTCTCAGGGTAGAAGTCCACTAGTTTAGTGGTCTTTACAGCAAGCCCCAAGGTCTTCAACTGGAGCTCAGACTCTAATTTCTGAACAGCCCACCAATATGCTGTTCAGCATGCTGCCTGTGGGGCTATTGTCACAATTTCAGAGATGAGCTGGCAAGTCTGTTGGGTTCCACTCTAGTGCAAGCCCTTCAGTTAGAAAGGCAGGAGCCTATGTCCTTACTGCACTTACTGGCAACATCAGGTCAGCCTCCTCATCTGTAAAACATCTACTCACTAATCAGAGCATTCATTCAACTAATTTCTGAGCTCCTTCTATATGAGGGGTGTGGTGTGGTGTGGTGGGGGGAGAGGAGGGCAACTAGGTCCAGAGAACAAGGACAACCCAGGGGGGTTACCTTTATCCTGTTTATAGGGGGAGCCAGAGATTTAAAAGGGAGGGCAACAAAAAAATAATAAAAGGGAAGGGCAGCGGTGTGGGGGCAAGGGTAGTCAAGAGTTTTCTCGCAAAACAGACACCTAAACTAATGGCAAAGGCTAGGGAGTAAGTGTACCAGGCAAAGAAAATTGATAGAATAAGGCCCAGGGCAAGAACAAGGGTGTCATATTGGAAGGATAGACAAAGCTGTGACACTGGAGCTCAAACATGAAGGCATTGGCGGGACCCACAATACCCTATGCCAAATTTCAGGAAGCTATTGAAGGACTCAGCAAGGCTATGGCCTGATCTAATTTGTCTTTATAACTGCCTGTTTCATGGCAAGAAAAGGGGTCCAGTAGAGAAGGCAAGAGGCCAGTTAGGATGCCTGCCACTGTCCAGGTCCTGAGCAACTTGGGGAAGGATAGGAATACCATAAGGTAGGAACCAGGAGGAAAAACTTGTCTTCAGGGGAAAGGTGAGGGACCCAGTGTGGGCTGTGGGAACTTAGTACAGAGATATAGATTGTAGTGTGGCTTTACTGAGCCCACCTCAGCCCCTACAGGGCTAGAGAGAGCCAATCTCAGGGACTGTTGTGCTGCCTGTGGAATAATCCTTTTCTCTTTTCCATCACTTTTAGGGAAACAACAGCAAATGAACCTCTCAAAACCCACAGAGAATAAGGGAAGGCAGCAGAGGGATCTCCAGGGACATCACCGGGTCTGCTGGTTCCCACACTGGGTTCTGCTGCTGCCCAGACCCCAGAGACTGCATGGGGGGAGGGGTTGGGGGCAGGGAGTACCCCAGTGCTTGAAGACCTGGCCCTCCACTGCTCTTGGCCTTGCCTCCAGCAGCTCCAGGCATTGGGCCAGTAAAGTTTGCCTCTACCCAGATCTGGGTGCCTTAAGGAGAGAAGACATGTTCCTCCTCTCTCAGGGGTCAGCTCAGGAGGAGCCTCTGGGTTGGGGAGGCCAACAGTCCATTTTCTGCCTTGGCTTTTTCCTGTCCCCCTTCCAATCTGCTGGGATGTGACCCCATAGAAATTTCCTTGAGAAGAAACTTGAGGTTGACAGCTCTGGGGTTTGTAAGGGAAGTCTGTTTTCTCCTAAGCTCTTGAATTTGTTTTTGCTTTGTTGGCAGGGAGCCAGGAAAGACTGGCCTAGACATGGCCTTATACTCTATGGTTACTTAGCTGGCCATTCAAGTGTAAGGCAGGGGGCGCTGGCACTACCTGGACGTGGAGGCACCAAACACCCACTTCCCTAGCCCATCCAGAGCTTTTCAGGTGTGAGTCAGGCTATGGAAATTGTCCTTTCCTGAATATTAACTCATTTATACTCTTCTCAATCCTTGTTGGGAGGTTGGGTGCCTGAAAGACGCTAAGCCCCAAGGGTGACCTTCCACCCCCACCCATGGGGTTGTACCCTGTCCCCTCACAGAGAGGTACTAAGCAGTTACCGCTGAGTGGCTCTGCCACTTCATCACTTCCCATCTTGACCCGGAACCACAAGAGCTTCATCCTAAGAGGCCACAGGCTCAGCTCGTCCCCACTAGCACCATCTCAGCCCCCAAGAACCCTCCCTCAACAGCCGGGAAGAACCACAGGCTGGGCAGGCCTGCCACTTACACAGTGGGCCAGGGGAGCTTCCAAAGGTGTGGGAGGCACATGCCAGTTTCTGAAAGCAGCATGACCCTAGAACTGCCTCCCTTCCTGAAGGCTGTATTTCTATACTTGTTTGTGCTGGACCACCAGCTACCTCAGTATCCCGCTGCCTGCTTCCTCTATCCATCTGGCAGCCTTTGGCTAGGCCACCTTTGCAGCAGAAACACACTGGAAGTAGGACTACACTGAACTTGTGTACGTGTATCTACTTTGGAGGTATCTTCTGACTGGTAGGATGATGGTTTTGCAGCCTCAGGCCTACCCACTGACACCACCACACATAGAATCAGGGTCTCACATTTTACCCCAGGTTCAGCTGAGGATGTGGCTTATTAAACTTGGAAGTGCATCAGTTGTGTGGTTATTCAGACAGGACAAGGGTGTGCATGCACAGGGAAAACTGGAAAGGGAACACTTGGGGCTACTGCCCCTCAGCGCACAGAATGCAATGACTTGCAGAGGTGGAGAAATGACACCAGCTCTCTGGAGGAGCAGTGGTGGGTGCCCAATAGGGAGGGGGCACTATCCTCACTAGTTTTTATAGACCTGGCCCTCTCAAGGAGAATCCACTCTAAGCCTGCCTCAGAGGCCAGGCAAGGAGGCATTAGGCTGGCACGCCAGCAATCATGTGGACACAGGAAAATGAAGCTAGAAACTCTGGCAAGCAAGAAGAAAGGAAGCTCGCTTAATGTTTTGTTAGAAGTCAGTGGAGTCCAGTAATGGGCCCCAGGGGCAAAGGTCAGCCCAGGGTAAGGCAGGTCCAGGAGGAGGCCCAGTGTGCTCTACAACAGCCCTGGGGCTCAGAACAGATGGTGAGCCTGGCATGGTTTGCTACTAAGCAGCAGGCTGGGATAACTTGGGAATGTAGAAGAGTGAGTCTGTGTCCCCTCAGCTTTCCCAAGTTTACACAGGCACAATGGCCCTACAGGGCCAAGCCTTTGTGAGTCAGGAATCATTCCTGCCTAGGGAGAGGCAGCGCTACCCAAGGTAATAATAACCCCTTTGCAGTGTGAGAAACCATGATGAGGTAGGTTGGGCAGGCTTTACCTCCTCCCTAAATGTAAGCCTCTGTTCCACAGCCAGCACCTGGCAGAGTGGAAGGGAGAGATGCCAGAACTAGTGCTTCCCATAGCCCTCCAGCAGACAAGAATGGGGTCAATGGGAGCACAAGCTGACATTGCATGAGCTGGTCTATTGCTCGGAAATGGGTCTTTTTTTTTTTTAATTTTTTTTTTAACATTTATTTATTTTTGAGACAGAGAGAGACAGAGCATGAATGGGGGAGGGTCAGAGAGAGAGGGAGACACAGAATCTGAAACAGGCTCCAGGCTCTGAGCGGTCAGCACAGAGCCCGACGCGGGGCTCGAACTCACAGACACTGAGATCGTGACCTGAGCCGAAGTCGGACGCCTAACCAACTGAGCCACCCAGGCACCCCAGAAATGGGGTCTTTCAAGAAGTGTACCTCTCCAAGAGGAGAGGCACATGAGAAAGAGAATAGGTGGTTTGCCCCCCACACACACCAGAAAACCAGAAACATCCTCCACCCTAGCCACCTACCCCAGAGTATTCAGCCTTAGCTTCCTAACCCTTGTAGAATGCCCTCCAGGTCCAGGCTCTTGGATGGGAAGGGCCCTGACCCAATCCATCCTCACTTGAGGGTATAGTAATTTGTAGTCACAAAGGGCATCTTGCTGACCACAGCCATTTGCTGCTTCCGCCGCACCTCTACCAACAGCGGGGTACCTGGCCGACTATACTCACAGGGCACATAACCCATGGCCACATTCTTCTTCAGGCAGGGAGAGGGGCAGCCACTGGTAACAGTACCTGTGTGAGAAGAAGCCATGTCAGCACCACCTTACCAGTCCAATGCCCACCCTCCTAGGGAAGGGACAAGGGCTCTCCAACTTCCCTGGTCCACCTACCAATCATGGTGCCCTCCATATTCAGGATGGGGCTGTGTGCCCGCATAGGTGCCCCCTCGCACATTAACCCTACACGTCTCCGCTGCACTTTGCCCTTCAGCTGAGGAAGAATGACTGACGCTCCAGGGAAGTCCATGGCAGTTCGGCGGCGCTTCCCTGAAGCATGACACCAGGCTTAAGCCACAGTCCATAAAACCCTTGACCATAGGAGGTCCTAGTTACAAGGACCCCAAGTAAAATCCATCCAGCAGTGAGGTCCCTTTGCTCAGGGCCCCCCAAGCTCCATTCCTCCCCTGCAATGCAGTCAGCCACCCACCTCTTGTCCCCAGGTCTTGAAGATTATGCTGCCCACTTCAGCCTGCTGAGGATCTAATGGGCAAAGCCACAGTGGCTACACAGCCTTGGGAGCAGTCATAGGCTGGCCACTATAGCCTTCAGGATTCTGAGTGCTGGCCCAGCTCACCCAATGTCCAACTGAGGCTGCCTTCCACAGGTGTGGTGTGTTCATCAATGTCACTCCCATACAGGCAGAGGCCTGCCTCCAGGCGTAGGCTGTCCCGGGCCGCCAGCCCTGCCAGCTTCACCTCTGGGTTTTCCAGCAGAGCTGTTGCCAGGTGGACTGCCCCTGCAGCTGGCACCGAGATCTGCATGGAACACCAGAGAGCAGGTGGGCAGCTGGCTCCAGAATCCTGTGTCCTGCACCATCCTACACCTACTTTTTCACATACCTCCACACCATCCTCTCCTGTGTAGCCACAGCGGGTCACACGGCAGCCGGACACACCAAACACTTCCATCACAGCACTGGTCATGAAGGGCAGTTTTCTTAGGTCATCTGCCACGCCGGCCTGCAATACCTGGGCCGCAGTGGGGCCTAGGCCCAGGGAGACCGTGACCAATTGTCCAGGTCCTAGTTTCCTCTCAAAGCTGGACCACAGCCCTTACTCAGGGACCAGAATAAGCCCTGAGCAAGTGCTATTCTGCAGGTGGGAGAAGGTGCTCTTGCCCACAGCCCATGGAGCCTTATGGCAGGTAGAGGGAGGACATTAATACCAAACTTAGAATTATGGCACACAAATGTCACACCATGCACACTTTCCTCCTGATAGGCCTTCTGTGCTTAGTAGTTGAAAAGCCAGGAGGCAAAGGTCAGCTCCAACCCTAGCCTGGCCTGCTCACCTTGCAGGGCTAGCAAGCCATTATCCACCACTTCCAAACTCACATCACTGCCCATGTTCTGAAGCTCCCTGACCTTGCCCTGAAAGGAAAGACAGAAACACCACATCAGCTTCTGGGACCACTTACTGAGCACTTACTGTGGGCTGACAGCTGGCTGAAGAGCTGGGCAGAATAGGCCAGTTCCCATCTGACAAAGTCACATAACTAAGTGGTATGGATGACCCAAGGCCAGGTCTGCCAGTGCTAACATCAGGCTCCAGCTTTTACCTTAACCAGAGGATGCTCACTTGGGAGCCAGGGTCAATTTTACCTCCCCTACTACCCCATCACTGAAACCTGGCATTCTCCAGGCAGGACCCACTCTGGCCTGCTGTTCACTCACTCAAAAAGCCATTGTCTGAGCCCTTTGTCCCTGCTGGGTCTGTCCTGTTCTGTGAACAAGGAACATAGGGTACCTAGAACACAGAAGGGCTGTACCTGCATGAGGGCCAAGTCCTTGTCCCAGCAGCTAGCATTGGACACCACATACAGGTACCCCTCAGAGGTGCTGGTCACGATCAAGTCATCTAAGATGCCTCCAGCCTCATTGGTAAACAGTGACAGCGTCCCCTAGTGCCAAAATGGAGCATCTTTGCCTCCAGATCCAGGAGTCAGACAATGCCCCCCCGCCCCCAGGGCCACTCAGCCATCACAAATTCCTGAAAAAGAAGCCTCATGCGCAGGGCTGGAAGGGGAGGAAGAAAGCTAGGTGAGCCCAGGACCCTGCCCAATCCCAGGGGTTTTGATCCTCATGCACTAACAAAGTTTTCACCCCTTCCCACCTTGGGAGACCTCCCTGATCTGGTGGGGCTTCTGTACCCCTCCCCACTCAGTACTGAGAGCCCCACCTCACACTTAATCCATGACACCTAGGACTTGCTGCTTCATCCCACCCAGACCTGGGACAACTCAGTCCATTCCCCAAACCCCAAGATGGAAACTTCAAAGTGCATCTTGATGATCTCATGAGCTCCACAGCAATACTCCAAAATACTGTGAGGCTGGCCTCACAGCCTCCCCACTGGATGGACAGTCTGAGGTTGAGAGGTCATATGAATCACCTGGGGATCATGTTAAAATGCAAGTTCCGATTCAGCGGGTCTACAGCAGCGCCTGACAGTGTATTCCCTAACAAGCTCTTGGTGATAATGAGGCTGTTGGTTTAATGGACTGCCTTTGAATTTCAAGGGGTTTGACAGCATGGAAAATCACAGAACAGGACATAAACCTGGGTTTCTAGCCTTCCAGCCTGATGTGGTAAGGATGGAATAGCCCCCCCTCCCCTGCAGATAACTAGATGTCCAGACATGACACAGGGACCCCATGCCCCAAGACTGCAAGCCCCGAGAAGCTGTATCTGAACATTGCTGTCCTTCCACCCCTCCCCCCATTTGCTGGCTCATGACTAAGAACACCCATTTAGCAAAATAAGAGGGACCCACCTGGTTTGGCCTTAGCTCTGCAATATCTCCAACCACTAGACTCTCCATCAGCTTCACCCGGTCACAACCAAGTATCTTGGTCTGGGAAAAAGATCCAAAACCTCAGACCACAGTAATCGCTGCAATCAGGAAAGCCACTGGACAAGGAGGCATCCTCCCTGCCATCCACAGTACAGCCCAATGCAGCCTAAGTGCCTGAGCAGTCTTTTGGTTCTGCGGATGGCAGATCCCCACCTTCTGGTTCCCCCACATCTGCCAACACAGGAGGGGGTGCAATGGAGGTGTTTAGGAAACTTGAAAGGGCCCAGCACCATCATGAAATACCCTCTTTTCCAAACCAACACCCAAGACAGTTGATGAGAATGGGCGCCAGCCCTGGGAAACCCAGGACATAAAGTCATGCTACTAAGAGGGAGTAGGCTGAAGAGATTAAAGAGGAGACAATCAAGAGATCCTCTGAGTTAATTTCCTGGGCTATAGTCTCCAACACCTGAGACCTCCACTTCTGCAAGGGCAGCCCTTGGAATCCACCTCCCAACAAAGCCAAAAGCTACACCCCTGTGGAAGGGGAGGAAGCCCTGACCTGGCAGCTAGTATGCTTCCCTGGCTCACCTGCAGCATGTGGGACACGTCAAAGAGTGAGCAGTGCCGGCGTGTGTGCAGGTGTGAGGCAACGTGACTGTCCCGGTACTGCACAGGCAGACTCCAGCCTGCAAACGCCACCATCTTCCCGCCATGAGCCAGGTGGAAATCATAGAGTG